TGGCCCTTCCAGATGTCCACAGTATGGGCCGCTGGGAGTACCTGAGGGTCCCTGATGAGTTAGGATTCTCACTTCAGCAAAGATGCACATTTTTTTACATGGGGGAGTGGGTATTCCAGGTCCCACCCAGCATCAGATCTCAGGCCAGCTTGTCTCTCTGTTCATCCTCAGGTATCTTTCATTGCCATTGAACATGCAGTGACTCGTGTAAGGCATGAAATGAACAAAATTGGGCATATTATCAATATTATCACCTTGACTGCTGCTATTTAACAGCTCCCATTGCTGGACTCCCCCTGTCGCACACCATGCTCCAGGATTAGCCAGGATTCTTGTTTACTCTTCCGAACCTCCCTGTGAAGTGTGGGCACCCTTGCTAATTCATCCTTGCTGTAGAGGTGAGGAACCTGAGGTACAGAGGTGTGCTTGTGTGTGTTGGGGAGCAGCGAGCTGGAGGAGGAGCCCAGGATTTCGCGTCAATCTCACTAGGCTCATCTGTTGTGTGTTTTAGGATTGCCCAGATTCCACTGGGTATTGTAACTGATACTTTCTCTCCCATTTTAGATTCTGAGCCCCTGACTGTACAGCTAGGTCTTACTTATCTCCGGGGCCTAGCTTAGGGTCTGCTACCTGCAGATATCTTCAGTAAAGAATTGTAGAACTGAATCAGCTGTAAACACTCCACATTTCTTCAGCTGTCATGAGCTACTTACTTGCCTTGTGTCTCGGGGGGAATGGATGTCCCATTCCCTGCTCAAGTCTGATGTCTTCATTTCCTCTTTGCTTCCATCTTCTGTCTCATAAGCTTGCTTATTTTTCCAGGCTCTCTCATTGGCTTTTCTCTTCTGATTATTATTATTTTTAATATATTTTTATTGATTTCAGAGAGGAAGGGAGAGGGAGAGAAACATCAATGATGTGAGAGAATCATTGATCGGCTGCTCCCTGCCCGCCCCCTACTGGGAATCGAGCCCACGCCCACAACCCAGGCATGTGCCCTGTACTGGAATCAAACCCAGGACCCTTCAGTTCGTAGGCTGACGCTCTGTCCACTGAGCCAAACTGGCTAGGGCTCTTTTGATTATAATCATGCCTAAGTCTCCCTCATCTTTTCATCCCTTGGCCTTGACCCTGGATGCACTATCACTAATTTCCCTCCTGCAAGCTTCTCAAACGAGGAGCCTCAGCAGCCCCTACCCCTGAATGGGCTCACAGTCGGGCCTCAGCTACTACACTGCAGATGCTCCCAAAAGTCACAGACTCAACTCACCTCATTGTGAAATCCAGTGTTTTTGTTTTTTTCAAAAATAGTTTCATTTTCTAAAATATCATAAAATATTTTAATCACATGAGAGGTTTGTATAATAAACACCCATATACCCACTGCTGTTATTCGACAAGTATTAACATTTTGCAATTTTGCTTCCAACCCTTCTGTTTATAGGTTACAGATATGGTTAAGACTGCTTTTTGCCCCTGACTCCCACTCGTCTCCCTCCCTCCCCTTCAGTAGAAGAACTGCCATCCTGAGCTCAGGGTGACCCTTCCTCCCGGGGATTTTAGAATCACACTGCTGTGTAAGCGGCCCTGATGAGACAGTGCCTTGTTTGGGGTGCTTTAAAGCCTTACCTAAGTGGCATCAGGCTGCACTCTCTATTCTGCCACTTGCTGGTTGGTATTTCTCCATGTTTAAGATCTATCCACATTGATCCAAAAGCTCTTGGTCATTCATTTTAACTGTGCTATGGAATTACATTTGTCTTTTTCCCACAATTTATTTTCTCTTGGCTTGATATGTTTGTACCATTTGTCACTGTTAGGCACTTTGGGGTTTTGAAGACCCCTTTCTTGGATGCCCACCAGGCATTTCATGGCTCTGCCCTGACAGTGGGTGAAAAGTGACCAGGACGTGGACTCTGCTTCTCCTGGGCTGGGATCGTCCTGACTCTTGCCTCTCTGGGCTCTGACACTGGTCTCTGAGAGATCCTAGCCAGCACTCATCTGGGGCACACTCACCCGAACCCTGGTCTGAGTCCTTCTGCCTGTTCGGTCATTCACCACACAGCCACCCTGCGACATGGCACTGTTACTGTCCACTGTGACGGAGGCCAGAGCAAGGCCCCAAGGTGGTAATTCCTGCACCCAGATGCCCAGGTAGTAATGGCAGAGCGCAGGTTGGGATGCAGTGTTCACACCACTGTCACCTGTTGGGCTCTTAGCTGCCCTTCCTCCTTGCCTGCGTCGTCCCCAGTCTCTGTCCTGGCCTCCCCGACCTTCCAGGGTGCTTTCTCGTCTTTTTCTCACAGTGCCAGGATTCCCTCTGTCTCAACTGCTTCTGTGGGCCTAGAGCAGTGATGGCGAACCTATGACATGCGTGTCAGAGGTGACACGTGAACTCATTTTTTTGGTTGATTTTTCTTTGTTAAATGGCATTTAAATATATAAAATAAATATCAAAAATATAAGTCTTTGTCTTACTATGGTTGCAAATATCAAAAAATTTCTATATGTGACACGGCACCAGATTTAAGTTAGGGTTTTTCAAAATGCTGACACGCCGAGCTCAAAAGGTTCGCCATCACTGGCCTAGAGAGACCCATCTGCGGTGACAACCTGACTGCTGTCCCTTACCCATGTCCCTGGGGTGCGTGCGTCCTGACCTCCATCTCCATAGCCCACTGGATGGCTCTCCCCGGAGATCCATTGCACCGCGTGGAGCTCAAGACTCCAGCACCTGCACCTTTCTCTTTCCCCTCAGTCTTGGTGCCTCCCTTATTTCTATTTTGGTTACTGGTGGCCTAAGGTAAAAACTCCAGAGTCACCTTAGATTTTCTGTGATCATCTTCAGTGATGACTCAGCTCTTTTCGCTGTGTCTCTCACACCTATCCTCTCCTTTTTGCCCCTGGCCCCTGGATCCAGAGCTGGGAGCATCCCTGCCTGGGAGCCCCTCGCCTGCTCTCAGCTTTCAGAACCCCTTGAGGTTTCTAAACTGTTATCCTCACTGAAGCTGAGTCTGACCTTTTTCCTCCTCTGCCAGCTCTCGGGGCTCCCTGTGGCACCAGAATAATCACCAGGAGTCTTAGTGGGATACTGAAACCTTTTCCACTCTGACCTCAGCTGACGCTTCCGCCTCCCGCTCTGCCACTTCACCCAGGCCACCTCACTGCTGTCATCTGGGACGTCTCACACATCTCCAGAGGTCCTATCTATACCTTTGAGCACACTGTTCTCTCCCCTTTCCTTGCTTGTGTATGAGTGTCCTGGGGCAGCCGCAACCACAGGCTGGATGTTAAAACAACAGGCGTTGATTCTTTCACAGTTCTGGGGACCTGAGTCCAAACCGCACTTGCTTTCGAGGCTCCAGGGGAGGATCCTTCCTGCCTCGTCCAGTTTCCGGCGGCTGCTGGCTTCCTTGGCTTATGGCTGCATCAGTCCCATCTCTGCCTCCATCTTCATGTGGCCTTATTCCCTCTTTTGTCTGTCTTCTCCTCTTGCCTTGTAAGGACCCTTGTGATTGCATTTAGGGTCCACCCCAATAATCCTGGATGACCTCAAGATCCTGAACTTAATCACATCTGCAAAGACTTTTTCTCCAAATAAGATCCCATACAGAGATTGCAAGGATTTGACATGGATATAACTTTTTGGGGCCACCCTTCGCCCTTGGCAGGCTTCGAACTGCCTTTGCCATCTGGCTCCATGTCCACTCACGGCTCCCCCTCACGGTCTGGCGTGTCCTCCCAGCTGCCCTCTCGCCTTTTGAGCCATCACCTGGGATTGTGTCCCACAGGGAGGCAGCTGACAGGTCTGACTCCTCTGCTCTGTGGTCCTCTCTTGTTCTCTGCTCCTGGCATAGACACTCACCAAGTGCTCGACACCTCAGAGTTATTGGGGGCATCACTGTCACTGTCTCTAGTTGGACATGCGGTCCCGTCACCTTGCCCGGTGATATTGCCTTTTCTCTGTTCTCCCCCCACCACGATCACTGCAATCACTTCCTCACTGACCTCTCTGCCCTCAGTCTGTCATCGCCTCCAATTTCCTCGGTACACACTGCCGGAAAGATCTTCCAAAATACTTTTTCATCTTGCCACCTGTTCAGAAAGTTAATGCTGTGGCTTTAGTCTCAGAGGCTGGCTCTCTGTAACCACTCTCTGTTCCTCATCTGTGACTCCTTATATTTCTGGTCCTATCGCTGTTCTCCTGCCTCAACATAGGCCTGGAGCAGCATATTCTGTGACTGGCTCTATCAATTGGAACTTTCTCTGCTTTCATTTCCCCAAAAATGTCATCTCTCAGCATCCTAGGTTCCCTCGAGTTCTCGTGCTGGCTCACCCCAGGCCGACTATGAAGTATAGCCTTCTGCCTTCCTCTTCTCTGCACTGAGTCCTGCTCCTGTCCTCTGAGCCCTGCCTCCTGTTGTAGCTGACATGATTCACGCCCGGGCGTGGTGTCCTAGGGTTTTGCAAAGCAGTGGGAAGCTGCACTCCATGTCGTCAACCTGCTGCCAGGTCGTGAGGGTGCACAGGAGGACAGAGGACAAGTCAGACACGGCCCCCCAGCCATGTCTGGGTGGGAAAGACAGACGGCATTGTGTCATAATACAGAAAAATGTGTGTATCTGTGTGTGCGTGCGTGCGTGCACGTGTGTGCATGTGTGCACGTGTGTGCATGTGAGTGTGCACGTGCACACGCGTGCATCTATATAGTGCAGATCTGGGATATGAGCCATGAGAGGAAAGTGTGGGGTGCTGTTAGGGTACAGACGAGGCCTGACCTGATGGGAAGGACGTTGGCCTGAGAATATCGAATGGCAGGAGCCAGTCGGGCTGAGGGAGTACATGTTCTAAGGCCTCAGGAAGGAAGTATGCCTGAAGGTTCCAGAACCATGGCGGAGGGGAGGCAGGGCCAGCTGGGTGCTCTGCTGAGAAAGCTTGGTCTTCATCCCGAGAGCACGTGGGCTCACTCTGTGATTCCCTTTGCCTTTTTCCTCTTCTAGGTTAGAAAGTCAAGCCAGGAAGCGCTCTTGATTCTTCTGGAGCAGGATCTGATTTTCCAGCACGATATTGAAAACAAAGTGTGTCCAATCCTGCTGGCGCTCTCTGCCCCAGACAGCGACGACGAATGCAAAACAGAAGCTGTGAACGTAAGTCTGTCTGGGGAACGACAGACCCATGCCTGGTGGCTGTCCAGTGGCTGGGCGTGTGTGTGACTTGAAGTGTCCCATGTGTTCACTGTTGGCCAGCCCTGTTCTCATAAACAAGGTGGCTGGTGGTTTGGCCTCGCTCAGAAAGTTCACCGTTCAGATCTTAGTGTGTTTGAAAGTGACTATGTCACCAATTGCTTTAAGAAGGCAAAGCATGGGACGTCAGTGATTTGGGCAGAGTTGGGGCAACTGGCTTCACTTTCTGCTGGGCAGGATGCTGAGATTTGTAGGTGAATCCTTAAACCTGCTTGGATCATGGACCTGGTTTCTCAAAGTAAGGAACCCGGTGTGACATGGGAGATGATTTAGGTGGTACCAGGACAATTAAAACCTAGTAGGCATGTGTGACTATTTTATTGATTAGGCAAGACTAAAGTGGGATTGTCACTAGGTAAGAAAGAGGCACTCTGAAGAATGCAGTTTGGGGAATGCTGTGTTAAGTGTTTGTGCTGATAACAGTTAAAGGTGTTCAATTAAAGGACTAGTCTAAATTTCTTCTGCTTTTAAAAGTTAATTTTGTGGTATCCTTGGGTTTGTAGGATTCTGTATGCATTGTGAAGTGATTGTCAATCAGGGGCTTTCTGCTGGCTTCTGGAACCCTTGTTCATACACAGGCTATTGAGGAGTCAGTACTAGTGGTCATGGATTGCCTGAGACCAAGACTCCCCAAGGAAGGTCACCCAAAGCCATCGTGTTTTCTTAGCTCCTGTCCCCACCGCTGCCCCCTGACCCATGCAGGAGGTGCTGCCCAGCATGGCCTTTCTATTTGTGTCCTAGAAGTAAACAGCTCCAGCATTTTAGAAAACATCCTACCCAAGGAGGTGAAATCAGAAGCCTCAGTTCCGAGTGCAGTAAGGTATAGAAGGTAGCTGTTTTCTTGGTTGGAAAAGAATGACGTTAGAGAAAGGAATTCTTCTCTTTGTCACAGTGTGGAAGCATTGTACACCATGGAGCCAAAAAATTGTATTAGAGCATCAGAACATCTGGCAGTTATTCTTCATTTATTTAAAAGTTTTCCTCAACTCTGAGTTAGAGGTCTGGCTTTTTAAACTAATTTAATATTTTGCATATCCCATATGTTTATAAGATGAATCAGGCTGAAGAATAATTGATTATTAAAATTCAAATTCTCCAGGGTTCTCTTATAAATTTCAAGTTTCTCTCTAAGAAATTAAATTTGTTGTGCGAAACGAACCTGGATAATATCATTAGTTGGGGTATTTGGCAGTTGAGTAGTGAACTTTGCCAACTCAATCTTCTTTTTTGTTTGAAAGTTGGTTAGGCGAGTTTCCAAGGTTACGACTGACAACCAAATATCTTATCCCTAAAGACTGATAATACCATGAAAAATAATGCTAAAGGCATTTTTGCATGAGTTTTATTTTGTTTTGTTTCCAACCATTCCATTCTTGTCAGCAATATTGTTCTTCTTTTTTTTGTGTGGTGAAAATATTTGGAAAATATAACAAGCCTTCAAAAAGCTATCTCCACAAATCACTTGCAGAACAAATTAGTTCACATAAATTGTATTTTTCATTCCAACTGAGTTGCTGATATCATTATTTGAATGTCTAAGCATTCAGATGTGGCTGCAGAGAACAAAAGCGGTCTTGAGCCCTTGGCAGGCCAGACACATCTGTGATTCGAGTACCTCAAGGGGGGGGGGAGGGCGGGGGCGCTGCACTTCGCTCCCCATGCCGCCCTGTAAGGTGGCCTGGGTCTGGTCTGGCCCATGCCTTCTTTGGTCACATTCAAAAGCTGTTCTGTCTTCCTTTCCTGGAGCCCCGAGGTACAGGAGTCTTGGAGGGGCTCACTCTTTGGACACCCAGAGTTGTGGAGCACATTTGGGCACTGTTTCTTTTGACTAGAAAAGTGTGTTCAATCTTTGGACCTTTGGGTGGAGAGTAGATTTCATTCTTCAAGGAAAAGAAGACCATGTGTGAGTCACAGAGCCCCCAAGGGAGGCAGGGTTTTCAGTTAGCTGCTCAGTGAGTCAGATGCCAAGCACTGTGGGCACTGATGTGTGCTTGTGAAGCGGTGACATGTGGGAAGAGAAGCGAATGGGACTGCTCTGATGCCCTTGTGTTTTAGGGCTCTCTTTGCACCATATGGCGTGAGTGATGCTGTGCCCATGTACATAAACACACTCTCAGGTCAGTGCCGTTTCACAGGAAGTGCTGCTCGCTCCCAGGAAACATCAGGCCTCCATAGGCAGGTGTGTGTGCCTCTGTCCATTAGACTTTTCATTCTCATTGGAAGTTGCACTCTGGATTCTAATGCCAGCAACCCCAGTGCATACGTGATTAGGAAAATCAGAGCAGCCAACTAGATGCCTCCTGGGCATTCTTAAGTTGTGCAGAAAAAATGACATGTTTCTTACCTCCTGGCTTCTCACACATGCATGCATTTTGTCTTGTGAAGTCTTTTTAGCTTTGCCAGGACATGGTAGTGATGCCCCCCTTCATGTGTTTGGAAGGCTTGCTTCATATCTGTCTTCTCCCACCCAGCAGCTGAATTGTGAACTTCCTTTGTTTGTTTATTTCCCCTTCCAAATGGTGAACTTCTTAAACACAGGTGTCTTTCCACCATCAGCACCCAGCACAGTGCTGGGCCCAGAGTCAGTACTAAGTAAATTTTAAAAAAATGATTTCAGAGAAGAAGGGAGAGAGGGAAATAGAAACATCAATGATGAGAGAGAAACATTGATTGGCTGCCTCCTGCACGCCCCACACTGGGGATCGGGCCCGAACCGGGGCATGTGCCCTGACCGGATATCAAATCTTGATTCATAGGTCGACACTCAACCACTGAGCCACACCAGCCAGGCAGTAAATGTTTTTAAATGAATGGATCGGTATAAACTGGAAGCACTGTATCCTGTAATTACATCTAGACAGCACAAACAGGCCACCAGAGACCAATTATAATTCCTCGTGCTTGCAAGAAGGCCATTAGCATTCTGAGATTATAACTAATTGTCAGAAGCCTATTTTTCTCTCCCAACACGTTTTCACATTAAAGCTTCCTCATTTTTTGTCGTCATTCCTATTTTTAAGCTCATTTTTATTTGTGCATTTACTTAAAAAGAATGTTGTGGTTATGTGCTGTAAAGAATAGTTGGCTCCAAGCAACTAAGCAAAGATCGTCATTCCATACAAGTGGTTCCCAAGGCCACAGGACTATCATTTCTGGTCACTCAGTGCGCTGACTTTTAATGATTCAGGATCGGTTTTGTACAGGTAGTAATAGGTCATGTGGGCGGGGTAGATGGGCACGGTGGAGAGACATACTGGGCCCCCTTTAGTTGCCCGTTACCCTGGATACAGACGCCTGGTGTTTGGCAGCTCTGCTTTGCGTCAGATGAGAGACACGTGTCCTCTGATTCGGGAAGATACAGTCTTTTCCTCATTTGTGTTGTGGGGACAGTTTCTCCTCCACCTTCCCCTCTTGTCTGCTGGGTGCAGATTCCAAAGCCAGTGGGCTGCCAAGTGTGGCCTTCAGAGACAAAGTCCTCCGCCCCCTGCCTGCTGCCTCCCATCTTCCCTTCATTCCTTCCTTCTTCCTTCTTTTTCTTGGGGGAGTGGAAGATTTCTTAAAAGTTTTTTGGGGGAAGGTAGTTTTTAATTTTGTTTTAATTTCAAACTGGCAGAAAAGTTGCAGGAATGAACTCCTGTATACCGGTTATCCACCTCCATGGGTTATGTGCAGCGCCATTTGTTTTATCGTGTTCTCTCTCTCTTTACACACATGCACCCACAATACACACACATGTAGATGAATACATACACAGGTGTATGCATTTTTTTCAGCCATTTGAGAGTAAATTGGAGACATTGTGCCCCTTTCCTCCTCAGTATTTCAGTGTATACTCCTAAAAATAAGAACATTCTCTCTTTTACAACCATAGTGCATTGATCACAATCAGGACAGTTCATGTTCAGATGTCATTTGTCCAGGATCCAGTCCAGGGTCCCACAGTGCAAGCGTTTCTTTGGTCTCCTTTAATCTGGAACAGATCCTGCGTCTGTCTTTGAATTTCATAACGTTAACCTGTTGGAAGAGTACAGGCCAATTCTCTGGTAGAATGTCTCCCAATTTGAGTTTGTCTGATGTTTCTTCATGAGTAGATCCAGGGTCTGCATTTCTGGCTGGATATTATGGAAGCGATGTGTACTCATGTGTAACATCAGGAGGCCCAAGACTTCAGTTTGTCCCGATTTTGATGATATTAACTCTGGTGACTTAGTAGATAGAGGTGGTGTCTGCCAAGTTTCTCCCATGTACTACTTTCCACTCTAGAAATAATGAGAGTTACTTTGAAGCTACGTAAGTATGCTTTTCATCAACCCTCACCCCCTAGTACTAGCACCCAATGATGGTTCTAGTTGACATTCTACTGTGAAGAGTGTTCCCTTCTCCATTATTTGCTAACATTTTGTTGAGGATTTTCACATCTATATTCAAGAGGACTATTGTAGGCAATTTTCTTTTCCTATTATGTTTTTGTCAGGTTTAGAATCAGGGTTATCGTGGCCTCAAAAATTGAGTTGGGAAGTATTTCTGTTCTCCTATTTCCTGAAAGATATTGTTTAAGATTGGTGTTATTTTTCCCTTAAATATTTGTTAGAATTCATGGGTAAAACCTTTGTGAGATGGTTTTGATAATAAACTCAGTTCTTTATGTGGAGCTATTGAGATTTGTCATTACATCCGTGTCATTGGGTAAGTTGTATATCTTAGGGAATTTAATTTTATCTAAGTTGTTGAATTTATTGGGGTAAAGTTGTTTACAATATTTCCTTATCTCTCTAATGCCTGTAAGATCTGTAGTGTTATTCCTTTCATTTATGATATTGATAATTTGTGTTTTCTCTCTTAATTTTTTTTTCTTGATCATCTTGCTAGGGGTTTATCAATTTTATTAATACTCTCAAATAACCAGTTTTTGGCTTTGTCATTTTCTTTATTGCTTATTTTCTTTTTAATTGATTTCTACTGTTTATTATTTCCTTTCTTCTAATTACTTGAGTTCAGTTTGTCAGCATTTTTCTAGCATCTTAAGGAGGATACAGTAATTTTAAGCCTACGTATTCCATTTAAAGCTACACATTTAATGTTTATATTTTTGTGGTATATTGACCCTTTAATTAATACATGACTTTTAAAAAACCTCTGATAGTAATCAGTATCTTGTAGTCTACTGTGATATTACTATCACCTCTCCATCATTCTTATGCTTACTATTTGTCATTGTATGTTTATGTTCTTTTTTTGCTCCCAACCTGAAATGTTTTACATTTAAAGTGTTCCTGCTTTCATTAGCATATAGTTGGGGCTTGCTTTTATATCTAGTCTGACAGTTTCTGTCTTTTAATTGGAGTGTTTAGTCCATTTATGTTTAATGTAATTATTGATTATATTTGGATTTAATTCTGCCATTTTGTTATTTTTTTTCCATTTGTCTCATCCATTTTTGTCCCTCTTTTAATTCTTTCCTGCCTTCTTTTGGAGTAGAGTATCTTTTTAGTACTGTGTTTTAATTTCTTTATTGGAGATTTAAAAAAAAAATAGTACATTGTAATAATGTAGTTCCAGCCATTTTCTTTCCTCCTCTGCTGTGTTTTTTTCTCTCATGTATACTATAACATATATATTACATTATGAACCTGATATCATGGTATCATAATTTCTGATTTAAACAATTATATCTTTTGAAGAAATTACAAAAAGAGAAAAAATGTATAGCCTTTTATCCTCACATTTTTATCATTTTTTGTGCTCTTTCTTCCTTTTCTGGATCTGAGTTTCCATCTGGTGTCATTTCCCTTTGGCCTAAAGAACTTCCTTGAGTACTTTTTTAAGTTTGTTTGGCTGATGATAATAAATCTTGTTTTTACCAGAAAATGTCTTAATTTTGCCTTCATTTTTGAATGATAGTTGTACTGGATATAGAATTCTGGGCTGACAGGTTGTTTTTGTTTTTTCTTGCAGAACTTTACAGACCTCCTGTTGTTTTCTAGAGAAATCAGTTCTCAACCACACTGTTCTCCTACATTTAAAGTGTCCTTTTTCTCTGATTGCTCTTGAGATTTTTCTCTCTTTTTTTGCAAAGTGAATGCTTATCCTGCTTTGTGTTTATTGAACTCCTTGAATGTGTGCGTTGATGCCTTCACCTAATTTGGGACGTTTTTGATTCAAGTACATTTTTTCTGTGCCTTTTTTCTATTTGTCCTTTCAGTCTGGGGCTTAGATTACACCAAGTTGGGGTGCTTAATATCATCCCATAGGTCTTTGTGGGTCTCTTTTTCCCCCCTATCATTTTTCTCTCTGATGTTCAGATTTCATCATTTTTATCAACCTATCTTTAAATTCAGTGACTCTTTTTGTCATGTGCAGTCTGCTGGTAGGTCCATCTATTACATTTTTTATTTCAGTTGTTGTGCTTTCCAGCTCTAGAATTTCCATTTTGACCTTTTTTATAGTTTCTAATTCTCTGTGATATAGAGATTCCCTATATTTTCTTTCTTGTGCATGTGTGTTCCTTTTATGTGTTGAACATATTTATAATAGCTCCTTTTAAATCCTTACCTGGTGGTTGAGACACTTGGATCATCTTAGTGTTGATAATGTAAAGTTCCCATTAACTGCTCTAAAAAAATTATGAATCACTTTTTACTATCAATACATAGGAAGTTATTTTTAATTGAACACTAAACAGTATAAATGACACACTGCAGGGGCTCTGGATTCCGTTTTATTTCTCCAAGGTGGTTTTTTATGTAGTAAGCAGTTATCTTGTCTGATCTCCAGCTCCCAACTGTCTCCTTTGAGCAGCACTAAACTCTCTGCTCAGTTTGTTTAGTTTCTTGCTGCTGCTTTTTTGCTGGTTCCTCTGGGAACTACATGTGTAGTTTAGTAGTCAGCCACAGAACTTACTTGCAGATCTTTCCCATTGCAGTTCACCTTTAAATGGTAGCCTCCCCTCCATTTTCTGCCTTTTGGTTGCTTGCCAGTGGTTTTTTTTTTTTTTTAATGTTTTTTTCTTTCTTTATGATTCTGTAATTGTTATCTGCAAGAATTTTATGTCTGACCAACCTACTGTGCTATTACCAGAAGTCTTGATTTTTTTTCTAGTTTTCATTTCTTTGATTAATTTTCCTATCTTTTCATTCATTATGGCCCTGTTTTCATTTTAGTCTTTGTGTGTTTTTACAATAGCTGTTTTCAAGTCCTTTTCATGTCAGCTAGTTCTAACATCTGGTCTTCGTGGGTTTGTTTCTACTAACTGATATTTATCATGAATATGGGTCACATTTCCCCATTGCTTCTCATGTCTATGAATCTTTTATTGCCTATAGTATGTTCTTGATGAAACATTGTAGAAATCTGGATTCTGTTATTTTTCTCTGAAGAATGTTAACTTTATTCTAGCAAACAGTTTAGATTCTGTTTCCCCTGCAGCATTCAGCAGCTGAAACTACTTAGTTCCTTTTGCCTTCAGGCTACTGCTTTTCTTTGTGAATCTGACCATCTCCCCTGTGCCTGCACAGATTAGAGTAGGATTTAATCACAGATTTAGGGGGCTTTCCCTTTCTTAGTTCTCTCATTCCTTCTTCCCAAGATTTCTAACCTCATGTGTCAGCTGCTTTGGCAACCTCGGTCTCTGTTCTCTGACTTCTTAAACCAGTTATACTGTAGCTTTTGCTTGAGGTCCAGCTACTCTGCATAGCCATGCAGAATGAGGATGCCCCAGGCAAAAAGAGCAACAGCAATGCACATCTTACCCAGGATGGTTCCCTTCTCTCAGGGGTCTGCTCTTCTTTAGTTTCTACCAACATTTGATCCCTCTCCAGTGCCTACAGGTCACTTTTTGTCCTGTGTCCAGCTACTACTATATGTCCCTCCTCACCACTATTTGGTTTTGGTCACATTACTTAATCTCTTTGAGTGTTAATTTCCTCATTTGGAAAAATAAGGCTAAGTAATAGTTTGTCATAGGGTTTGGGGAAGGTAAAACAAGTTATTACACATAAATTGTTCACTTTTGTGTTGGGAACACAGTGGTTCCCTCTGATGGTAACCCTTGCGCTTTAGACAAACGCTTATCTGAGTAAAACTTGAGAGATATTTAGCCTTTTATTAATCATAGAACTTGACGGAACTCAAAAGAAGGTGTTTTCTGTTTTAACTTCTTGGTTATTTTGGTAATATTTTGAATACTAGCTTTTGGAACCTAAGTAGTGATGTGCAACACATAAGCTTTGGTATTTCAAGTGACTGATTTTCTTATTTTTTATAGATCATCTGCAAACTGGCTTCAGTGCTGAGCAAGAGCACAGTGGAACGCCTGCTGCTCCCTCGATTCTGTGAATTATGTGGTGATGGGAAGCTCTTTCAAGTTCGAAAGGTGAGCACATATTAGTTTCAAAACTTGAAAAATTCAAAATCCATGCCTGTAAAGTTTCTGGACTTCCTCAGTAGACATGGTCTGGAAGGAAAACATGGCCAGTGTGAACTGTGTGAGGAAAACATCTGAACAGCGTTGCCAGTTTTCACTGCAATTAGGGAATGCAGAGCGCCCTGGGGATGAGATTGTGTCTGAGTATGCCTGTTGTTCGCCTGTTGTTCTCAGGAGCTGGAAGTGCGAGGGGACCTTGCTGACTGTGACCCGATGCCTTTGCCTAGGCGAGCAGAGCCTTTCATTTTCTTGGGTGACTTGCCCTACCTTCCAACTCCTATCCTACCCTGCCCTCTTCCCTTTTCATCGCTTGTCACTTGGTTGTCAAATTCTTCCTTTTGAAGGCCAATGCTCCCCTCCCTGAACAGCCTCATCTTCCCTCTGGTCTCTCCTCATGACTCATCAACAAGATCGGTCTCATTTGGTCTTATTTACCATGCGGAGAATATGAAGGGTCTCTTTTGCTCTCTCCTAACCAAATGCATTATGTATTGAGATCAATTAGGAGCCAGAAAGTGCTAGAATTTGGTACTCTATTGTAAATCTTCAGTTTCCAATGCATCGTAGGCACCTGGGCGGTGCTGTGTGGGCGATGGGCTTAGTGAGTGCTTGTTAGCTGCCTCACTAGAGGAGTAATTGCTCTCAAGGTCCCTGCTTGTTAGTCTGTACAATTTGTTAAAACAAAAAAAGATGAGAATAATGGGTATGCCTTTTGCCTTTTTAAGGTATGTGCTACAAATTTTGGTGATATTTGTCACGCCGTTGGACAAGAAGCAACTGAGAAATTTTTGGTACGTGAAGTTTTGCCAATTGTAATTGCTGATGCACTTGTTAAGGCACTTTTAAAATCCATCATAGTTTTGTGTCTATGAGTCTTTTTCTTTGGAATGGCAGCTTGATTTTGCATTCATCAATTTCAAATTTCTTGACTTCTGAAGCTAATGTTTTTCATAAGCACGAGGCAGCTGGTCTGTGGAACAGAGTGGAAGCACCCCTTCCTCCTTCCTGTGGGCCTCTTCTGTTCCTCCTCCCTGCTCTTTCTAGAATGTTGCTCTACCACCTCACTCCTCGGCTTCAAAACCCATGGGATTGTTTCTTGGTTTCCAGGGTAACATCCAGACCCTTCTTGGCCTTTCAGGTCCCTTTACAAGTAGCTTTCCTGCCTTACCTCAGGTCTGAACACTGCTCTGGCCAGGGTGCTGATCCCCCTGGGCCACGCATCTGAGTCATGGGGAGGGCGGGAGCGGGGAGGGCCCAAGGGTTCATATTTTTTATAAATTCCCTCACGATTCTGAGACACAGTGGGGTAAAGCGCCACTTCATGAGCCAGCCAGTGACTCTTCTGCTTGTTACTGCCCCTCTTCCAGCGTCGCTCCTACCTGGTGGGACCCTGCTCCCACGGCAGACGGCAGACCCAGCTTGAATATGTATATGTCTCAGTCAGGTCCTTTCTGGCCTAGACTCACCTGTCCCCCACTGTGTCAGAGAGAGTTCATTCCTCCCTTTTCAGCACCCCCAGGACAATGAGTTCCGAGGACTTGTGTGTCCCTCTCCACACCCATTCTGGTCTGGCTGGTTCGGGATCTTCACCCTATCACGTTCGCCCTTCTTGCTTCCAGGTGCCTGCCTAGGCCCTGGCCCCTGGAGAATGCTGCGCAGCACATGCTTGCCTCTGTATTTGACAGGATATACTTCCTAAGGGTTGAAACTTAACCTCAGAAAGTATAATCTTTAAATTGATTTGTAAATTTAAGTTCAGAAGCTCATTTTATTTTATTTAAAGTATAAGCCATGTCTCCCTGGCCAGTGTGGCTCAGTTGGTTGAGTGTCATCCCATACATTCAATTCCCCTGGGAGACCAGGACACATGCCCAGGTTGTGGGTTTGGTCCCTGGTTGGGGTGTGTATCGAAGGCAATGGATCAGTATTTCTCTCTCACATCAGTGTTTCTCTCCCTCTCCCTCTCCCTTCCTCTCTCTCTAAAATAAATAAAAACACATTTTAAAAAAGTATAAGCCATGTCAACATAGTTCTGATAGTTCTGACCCCAAAATAATCCTTAGTGGGCTGTCGCTTTGAGTCCACAGGGAGTGTTGCCCTGCACTTGGTGTGTCTGAGTGAAGCAGCACACTCATCTTCCAGAGGCGGTATTTCCGGGCTCGCTTATGCCCGTTGTGGAGCTTTTTGCTGATTGTTTTATGTTGAGATATTAAAAACAAATTGTATTTTTAGACAAGATCGGCATGTTCAGGATGGTATGGCTATAGACCAAAGCCTTATTTTTAAAGGCAAAATTTTAAAAGAGGATATAATCATGACCTTCATACAGATATAAAATGAAGATGTGTCAGTGGTTTTATTAAACTCATGTGTTGATGAGGGAACCAGTAAGATATGACAAGTGGTTTCATGGAGAAGTTAAAGTGCCACACGTGGCCAGACCCTGGAACCCTGAAGTGACCTTACAAACTGGTCGTATCCAGGGAGGTAAGGTTTGCATGTCTGTGGACAGTTTTTAACAATTTACCTTCTATCACTAAATACCTCAGTCAGAGACCATGTGCCTGGATGGGTGAGCTTGTTGGGATAGCCACTGAATTTCAAAGTCGTTCCGAGTATTTCTCTATAATCACATATTGAAGATCACTTGTTCTGCCTCTGGGGTTTTTTCCTCCATTACCTTGTTAAATTTAACAGGTCCTTTACTGGAATTAAGAGGTAAAGGAAATGTTGCTTTATTCTGCTTGTCATAATTTCTATTGGTTTCAAATGATTCCTTTTAGATTAGTATATATTTCATTTTTCTTTGTCATTAATTTATGGATATGCCTTAGCTGCATCAATAAAACAGGCTCTCCGGGTAACCAGATTTGAGTAGCATGATTTTATTTGCTTTGGTAGATCCCAAAGTTCTTTGAGCTCTGCTCAGATAATGTGTGGGGGATGCGAAAGGCCTGTGCGGAGTGCTTCATGGCGGTGTCCTACAACACATCCCCCGAGGTGCGCAGAGCGCAGCTGTCCCCTCTCTTCATCCGCCTGGTCAGCGACTCCTGTCGATGGGTAAGCATGGGCTTTGTCTTGGCATCTGGACTTGTGACTTTTCAGTCATTGATTGTCACATTTAGACCTTGTGAGGCTTAGGGCACCTGAAATCTCAAAAGTTTTGGCGATGTTAAGAAAATGCTCCCACTGTCACGTTTATATTGAACAAATCTCATAGAAATGAGAACTGAGAAGGGAAAGAGCAGAACTGTGAATTGTTACTTCTGTTCTGAGCTTAACTATGCTGCAATGATTAAGAAGGTCTGTTCAGATGCTTTATAAAGTCCAGAATTATTTGATGTGGGATTAATTGCCTGGAAGGTTAAAAACTACATGATAGTGCCAAATTTTTCCTTATTTTCTGTTGCAAATTGTTTGTTTGGAATTTAAGGGAAGCAGTAAATCCGCTCAGACATACTTTGGCAGACAGTGAGTGGCCTGGTGATCTGCCCCCGCTCAGCCTGAAGTCAGACCTCGCAAGTGCCACATTCATGCGCTGTTCTCTCTGGTTTCAGGTGCGCCAGGCTGCCTTTCAGTCCCTGGGCCCCTTCATTTCCACCTTTGCAAACCCCTCCAGGGCTGGCCTCTATATTCGAGAGGATGGCACCCTGAGCATCAGGTCATCAGCTCAGAGTGCGGGGTCCAGCTTCATGTGCAGGTCAGCCGGTGCCCGCAACTGTGTTGACGCCACCTCAGCCTGGTAAGCTCCAACCCAATAATTACTAGGATCCCGCTTCACCTTAAGCGTCCACCTAAAATTCTAGCAATTATCTCCTCTGGAGTTTCAGTAACAGTGACCTTCTGGGCAAGATGGAATATTAGAGCTTTAATTATGTAAAGAAGGAAAAAGTAATTGCAATAATGGTTTTGAAACATGACTACTAGGTTATAAATAATGAAGCTACTGTGTCTCCTAAATTTAGATAAAATATTCATTGAGAGCAGTGATTAAATAACCTATAAAGAAAATTTTCTCTTACTTTTTGATTAATGAAGTTCTTTGGATAATGTACATGGGAAAAAATATACTTTTGTGCCATAGAATATTACATGCCCATAACGGTGAGATTCCTGACCCACTATCAGTAGACTCTATACTGTTTTTCTAGTAAATTCTAGTGATTGATCTTGGATTTGTTAAATATCTTTTCTCCAAGGATGGTGGGTGCATACTAACAAATCATTGGAGGTAGTAAACAGGCGTCTCTCCATTGGTAACATTACACGGAGTGTGAGAGTAGGTAGTTCACATCCCAGTACCCATTCTTTGTGATATGGGTCACCCTCCTCCACCAAGACTCAAGGAGTCCCTGCTGTAAGGCCTGGGGCAGGGCTTCCTCATCAAGACTTTCCAATGGTTAACCACCAGCCAGCACTTGCCCACTTCAGCCCGGTTCATTTTCTCATGCCTGCCCCCTGGTGGAGGTCCTAAGAAGCAGTGAGCGCAGGTCTTGCTTCTGAAGGTGTGCCAGCAGAAGCTGGGCTCTTCCCCACCGGCGTATACGTGTAGTGGAGGGATTGGCTGCGGCTGCGTGTGGCACTTTCAGTGAACATCTTCTTGCAGTGGGCAGAGGGGACTGCTTGGACCTCTCATCCTCTTGTGACACTGCTATCTTCTGGGAGACACAGCAGGCTGGGCGGCCAGGTCAGGAGGAGGACCGGGCTTGTGAGCATGTGGATCCTGTGTTTGCCTACTTTACTTTCAATCTATTACTTGGTGCTAAAAATTTGCCTTCCTCAATTTAACCCAGTTCAACACAGCCAGGGCAGATAGAGCCACATCCACCCATGGGAGGCCCATCAGGGGGCACCAGTGGTTTCCTGCACATCAAGAGCTCCTATGATGGCCCGATGGAAAACCCAATGGAGGACTCCGGCCTGACTGGAGCTGAGGTGACCAGTGCCTTCTCGAAGCTCCCTCATATTAACAACCTCCCCATCAGCAGTCACCCTGCACCTGATTCCTGGGCCTGCCCAGGGAGTCCTGAGGATGCATTCGGTAATTTCCTTTATTGGCGAACTCCTCTCCCTGACATAAGCCAGGACTTGGAGTTGCTTCTGAGTGCGGCTGGGCCGCAGGAAGAAGGCCGCTGCAGATCTGAGCCTGTGTGTGGCAGCTATGTGGCCAGGAGTGAGATTCAGAAAGTCCTCGACAGTTTGCAGGAGCACATGATGAATGATCCAGATGTTCAAGGTCAGTGTTGTCCACAGTGAAAGGGGAGACGGATGGCGTATTTCTGGGGTGTGCGTCACATGGGCCTGTGTCTTGCTGCATTGGGCATGTACTTATCTTTGGTGACATTGTACACACATCTCACTACAGCCAGAACCTCAGCATCTCCCTGCAGGTAGCCGCAGGGGTCCTGCCTCCTAGCAAGCAGCGTGCAGGTCTGACGTCAGTTCTAACAGGAGCGAGAGCTCTCGGGCATATCTGTAGCAGTGGGGATTTTATTAGCTCCTCGGCCACCTTTACATCCTTTGCTGTGTTATAATGCCTTCCAGTTATGAACAGCTATGGCTGCTGCTCCTCTTGGGGCGTTAACTCAGTCCTTAGCTAAACTTTGAGGTCTGTCTCAGCAAGGAAAAGGACAGCTTCTTCTTTGGGGTATTTTTCATTTTATGACTAGTACTCCCACTGAGTGTCGGATCAGGGAGCCAGGCCCTGCAATCCATATCCATTATCACGCCTCTTCTTTCTTGAAACATTGCTATATTTGTATTCTTCCCTGAGTTGGGGAAATTGGAAAAAAACAACACTTGCTGCTGTTGCTGGGCAAAGATTTGTGACGCTTTCGGGAAAGGAAATGTGAAAATCCAGTTAGCCCTATGATTATTCTTTGTCTTTAAATTGATAAAGGAAATTAAGTCAGTGTTTGCTAAAGGAATGAGCACATGTTACATATCACTTCTAATAGCCGTAGACAGAAGTCTGCATTTGGAAAACGTATGTATTTCTAAAACTCCATTCAACTCCATGCTGGGACCTGGCTGGGTGCTGGGGCAGCAGTGAGGACACTTGAGGCCCTCATGGTCAGGAGGAAGGGACTGTAAACAACCCCCCTCCATGGGTGTGGCAGGGGCTGGGCCAGGAGTTTAGGGCAGGAAGCTGGTTATTCTTGGGGACAGAGGCAATGTCTGGGAGGAGACCTTGCAGAGCGTTGACATTTAACAAGGGCTTTAAAGGACGGCTAGGAATCCACCATACAGAGAAGTTGAGTGATGAGTCTCATAGGTTCTTTCAGGTCCCTGGAATTATTTTGTAAAATCTTACATGTACATGCATACTTAATTTCTTTATAAAAAGGACCCACAAGCTGCTTTAGTGCGCAGAGGGATCTGTGACCCCCAAAAATTCAGAAATAAGTGGCACCTTAGGTATTTGTAATCGGAGATGTTGCTCGGGCCATGGGGAGGGCCTGGTGGGTGGCACTAAGGAGGTGGGTCCTTGTTCTGGGCACAGGAGGGAGCCAGCTACATGCTCTAAGCATTTGAATGAATCTTGGGGTCTGTTGAATTTAACCAGTAGAAAACAGAATGCAGGAAGTCGTGTGTGTGCATGTTTTGTGACATGGAAACGATTGTGTTTACAGAAAGGTGTGTGGATATGTCATCTTGACTGTGACGGGGCCTCAAACAGTCATGCTGTGGACAGGAAGCGTGAGCCGAGCAGGGTGAGCGGGACCTTGGCTCGCGTGTGTGCACATAGCCGGATTGACTCCTGCACGTGTGTGCGCTTGTGTGCACCTGTGTGTGTGGCGGGGACGGCAGCCACCCTGCTTTATAAATGAGGGTGCAGAACCCCCTCCCTGAGTCAGTGGGCCTCTCAGACATCGGCATTCAGTAACATTGTATTGTCTTCCTGTGAAAGATGATGGAGTCGAGCTCTGATTTCCCAATTGAGGCACTTCAGGTTCAGATTTGATGCTGTGTGTGTGGCTGACGTTTAGTTGGAGTCGTTAAGGTTAATGGTGGTAAACATCACAGCCTGACTGAGTGCTCATTCTGGGACCCCAGAGCATGGTTATTGTAGGGACAGATGTGGGGAAAGTGAGTGTATGTGTGGTGTGCGCACATCCACAAATCAGATAAAGTTACTGAAATTCTCGAAACTTCTCTCCCTGCAGCTCAAGTTCAGGTGCTATCAGCTGCACTGAGGGCCGCACAGCTGGACTCTGTGAGTGAGCCCGAGCACCCACTGGCAGACAGTCTGAGTGCAGTGTCCCTTTCAGATCCCAGGCCGGCCTCTGACAGCTGGCTGGCTCCGTCGGCCTCATCCCTGCAGAGTGAGCCCTCTGTGGCCAGGATGTTACCAAGCACAGTAAGTCTCTGGCCTCTCCCTCAGCCACTGAGGATGTGACAGAAATCTCAAAGCTGCTGTCTCTCTTATTAGTAGGTCCTGGTGGAGATGATAAATGGCAGGTTTAATTTTATTCTTAAGGTCATCTTTTGGATAACTAGACAACCAATCAATCAGGTGATTGATAACCCTGACTCTCCTCCACAGAGACAAGGTGGGGGACCAAAAGGACCTTCCCTCTTCTCCAAAGATGATGAGACCTGCTTCTTGGGGGAGGGGTTAACCAGATCATGGCTCTGTTTCACTGCCCACCGGTGGTTAGATGTTTGAGTAGGAGTGGAAAGTGAATTCCTACAGCCTCTCTAGGTTGAAGTTGACAGAGGCCTTAGAAGTTGATCACAGCCTTCAACCCTCTCCTTAGAGACACTCTCTCAACACACAGTCACTCCTGCAGTGGCACCAGCGTGCTGTGTCTGCTGGAGAGGTTTGGGTGAGCCCACAGACCCCACCTCCCTTCCCTGTAGTCTGGCACCAGCCCTGCGAGACAACTCCCATCCTGGGAGAGTGCCTTGTTTCTTAGTTCCATCTCTCTAGAAGCTTCCTAGCTGCTTTTGGTGGGAGGCTCCAGTGCCTCCCTAATTCCCACTAAACTTGCACTTGGACCACCTAGAGCTGGGGTCCTTCACAGGTCAGGTGAGACTAAAGAACTGAAATTAGGGAGGGGCCCATGATCAGTGTCATGGGCATGTTGGCACCTTCTCATTTTCATGTGCCTTAATGGAGGCCGGAGGCCAGAATCCCAGTTGTTTCTCATTTCTCATAGTTTGTAACTTGATTTTAGCAATTCTGCTAACGTATCACCTCCCTTACCCGCTAGGCCTGCTCCAGTAAAAGCAAGACAAAAGACAAATTTAAATAGCCTAAACATAAAATGTTTAAGAGTTTGTTAAGGTTACCCTTGATTAGTAAGAAATAAGGTGATATCCTATTTTGCTGGTTTTTTTAGAAAAACAGGCAAGAAAACTCATGTTACCCTTATTGAAACCAGACGTGTTAGGTAGATAGGAACGTGTGGTCATATTTGCCTTGGTGGGACTGTGACAGTCTTTAGGCTTCCCTGTCATATATGGAAGTGGACAAAAGAAAAAAGAACCAGTTCCTCACCCTGGCTAGTGTTGCTCAGTTGTCAGAGTGTTGGCCCCACACTGAAGGGTCTTGGGTTCAATTTCTGGTCAAGGGTATGTACCTGGGTTGTGGGTTCACTTCCTGCCCGGGTCAGGGCATGTGGGAGGCAACCAGTTGATGTGTCTCTTTCACATCAATGTTTCTTTTTCTCTCCATCCTTCCCTCTCCCCCTTCCTCCCTCCTGTCCTCCCTTCTAGTCTCTGAAAAAGCAATGGAAAAAATATCCTTAGGTGAGGATTAACAACAAAAAAAGGAATTTGTTCCTCCACGTTGGCCCTTTTGTGAGGAGGGTTTTAAAGGGCCCCTGTCTTTGGTCCTTGGTTTGTGGTGTGGGACATCAGGAGTCTTGAATTTGCAGCTTGACTCTTAGGTTCCAGTGGGATCAGTCAGGATGATTCCAGTTGTAAAATAAGGAAAAGGAAGTGAAAAACGCAAAAAGCTTAATCAGTGAGGGCTGTGTTCTTTCAAACAGTGAACAGGAGAGGAGCTGAGGCTGGGGGCTGGCACCTCAGCTCCAGAACTTGACCCCATTCCACGTGTCCACTCTGCCACCTTGGCTCGCCAACTTAGTCCCCAAATGCCCAGTGGGGGGAGGGGCCTCCTTTTTCTGACCTGTCACTTGACTGTGAGGCGGTTTTCTGGGGAAATGACCTCTCGGTACCTCTGGGGGCTGCCTGGACTTGTGGTGGTTACGGAAACCTAAGCTTGGCTCCTGAAATAAGTACCATACTTACAATTCCAAATGAAGACTTTGGAATAAAATTAATTCCTGAAAGAAGAAAAATGATTTATTATTTATTAATCTATGTGAATTTATTAAGTTGGAGAAATTGAGGTCTTAGGTTATCATACCAAAGCGTTCCTGTTTTATCACGCCCTTTATTAAATAAGCAGTACATTTCAGTGGAGACCTTGGGGATTGAAGGTTCTGGTAGCGTGTCTCAGCCAACAAAGCGTCTATCGGTATATTAATCGACTCTCCTGGATCATATATTGAGCTGATTTGTCAAAACCTATTAAGCTGGCAGGCAGGGTGACATTTCCATGCAAGTAGGGAACCCATGTTATGGTTGGAGCAGAAGGTCAGACCCATCTCAGTTAACGTTAGTCAATGATCAGAGACCAATATGTCACCATTGAATGTTCTTGCACATCTTAATTGTTAACCTAATGTAAGGGTTCACCAGCAAACATGAAGAGTGTTTGCACATGTGAAAATCCAGAACAGCTCTCCGAGCACACGCTCCTCATCAGTCATTTTCACTCAGATTAAATGAGGCTGCCCAGTGCCTCTCATCCTCTCTCAGGCCCAGCACCGATGCACTCTCCAGTTCCTGGGCAGTGCTGGATGTGTGTGCTTCACCATTTCCTGAAAACCTCACCCTGCTTTCAGGAGTGGTCCATGACTTAAATGTGCAGTTGTTCCTTAAGGGCTGTGGGTAACCACACTCGAGGTCCTGGGGCTTGAAGAATGATAAACGCAGCCTCCGGTTGTTGGTGCATGCCAGGGTTAGCCTGTCTTCTGTAAGGGCCTCAAGCAGTTTTGTTTTTTTTAAATATATTTTTATTGATTTCAGAGAAGAAGGGAGAGGGAAAAGAGATAGAAACATCAGTGATGAGAGAGAATCATTGATTGGCTGCCTCCTCCACCCCCCCTACTGGGGATGGAGTCCACAACCCAGGCATGTGCCGTGACTGGGAATCGAACTGTGACCTCCTGGTTCATAGGTCAACACTTAACTACCAAGCCACACTGGCCTACCCAACATCATATAGAACTATGCAAGTGTATTTTTTTTAACACCTGAGAGAGAGCTTGACCTAATGGGAAGCTCTGGTCTTGGTTTGCATAAGTCATTCCTGCCATTGAAAGAGGGTTCCTTGAGGGGGGCAGTAGGGCAGCTTCCTCCACACAGCCAGTTGGTAACATGCCCCATCCCTTTTGCAGAATCCAGGCGAGCCCTGCCCTGGAACCCGTGACCATCTGGGGACCCAGCAGAGGCATGACCCCGTCCCACTTGAGGAGAATAAATCTAAACTACAGGTTTGTTCCTTAAAAAGAAAGCAGCTTAAAATTTTACATTTCTCTGGGAGTTAAATTTAAGAATGGACACTGGAAGCAAATATTTTTCTTCCATCAATATTCATGACATATCTTAGTTTACAATCTGTGGTGCTAATATTTCCTCTCATGTAAAAAAAATAGTAAACTCCAAGTAGTGTTTAAAATCTTGTGAGTAATCTAGAATAGTATTTTAAAGTAAATCAAACATAAGAAAAATTTTGACATCTCTATGCTAATATTTAATGTCTGTTTATACAAGTCATTTTGTTTCTTTGTGTATGAAAAGTTTTTGATGGCTTTTTTAAAATCAAACTGTGCTTGGCTTTGTTCTGTCTTGTGAATTGGCTTCTTGTGCCATGTGAGTTCTCTTAAATGCTTCTAAATTTTGTACCCCCCTTCCCTTTACAGAGATAAAGGTAAGTGGGCGCTGTCTCATGAAGGCAGTATTCCATCAGTTGAAAAGAAGTAGTAATGATTGAGTGTAGGGGCTCAGGCCCAATGTTCTGGGGGCAGTTATAAGAAAAGATAGTTTCTATTCTCAAGAGCCGTGTGCACCAGACAAACCAACATTCTAGACCAGGGGTGGGCAAACTTTTTGACTCGAGGGCCACAATGGGTTCTTAAATTGGACCGGAGGGCCGGAACAAAAGCATGGATGGAGTGTTTGTGTGAACTAATATAAATTCAAAGTAAACATCATTACATAAAAGGGTACGGTCTTTTTTTTTTTTTTAGTTTTATTCATTTCAAACGGGCCGGATCCGGCCCGCGGGCCGTAGTTTGCCCACGGCTGGTCTAGACTGTTCTTTATGACATCAAACATTGGCTGAGTTTAGCAAAGGTGAGTGTGGACATTAACTTCAGTCCAAGTAGAAAACTGAGGGAACAAGAAGTTCACCAACTTGAAGCTTCAGGAAGGCCTCTTGCGTTTTCTGATTTTCTGTTTTTACCTTCAAGTTCCAAACTCCTTGCTTTTCGTGTCTTCTCTTTCTTTCCAGCAAGCATGATGGTTTCCTTTCTCTCCTGTTTCCCAGGATATTATTCCTCAGCCCCTATTGGATGAGTATGTGTCGATGACCGACCCAGCTCGAGCCCAGACTGTTGATAGCGACATAGCCAAGCACTGTGCATACAGCCTCCCAGGGGTGGCGCTTACGCTGGGCAGGCAGAATTGGCACTGCCTGAAGGATACATACGCAACGCTCGCTTCCGACGTGAAGGTAAGAGTCGCACGTGAGCACAAGTGAGTCATCTGACGAGGAAGAGGTGGGAAGCTGCAGCTGGGCTCACGGCCTGAATTTATGTGCTCGTGGCTGCCACGTTTACAGATCTTGGAGGAAAGAAAGCTTTAAGTGGCCAACACCTGGTAGCATCAGTTTTTCTCCAGAAATAGCCCTCACCTTTTGGTAACATGGCGCTGTGCTTGCTTTCTGTGGCTTCTGTCTGCTGTGCACCCAGTGGAAGGTACGTCGGACCCTGGCCTTCTCCATCCATGAGCTGGCTGTGATTCTCGGGGATCAGTTAACAGCTGCTGACCTGGTACCCATCTTCAATGGATTTTTAAAAGACCTGGACGAAGTACGAATAGGAGTTCTTAAACACCTGTATGATTTCCTAAAGGTAGGAAGAAGGATTAAAAAAACACAAAACAAACCTCCCCTCTTCAAAACAGTTTTTTAAACCCTGCATGTGTAGAGTACCAGAGGAAAAAACAACAACACAGGTGTCTGGGTTTTTCAGTTCAAACATACCATCCAAAATCTTACAGTGGGTGTTCTTTTGGTGAGGGGTAGATGTTTTTATACCTCTCCTCCTATCTCCCTGCACCTCAGAGGTCTAATTCTGCGAGGGGTGTGGACAGGTAGGCCAGCGTGCTCCCTGAGTCAGTGGGGGTCTTGCCCAGCTCTGAGCCCAGCTGGAATCAAGCTCACTCTGCATGCAGGGCTTTTCTGCAAGACGTTGCTGCTTCCCTGCTTTTTTCCCCCCTAAAGGAATGATGAGTGCAAAAATAAGAATTTAAAATGGCCCAGAGAAACGAATTATTTTCATTCCCGAGCTGAGCTGCCTGGAAGGGCTTTGGTGCCCAGCTTAGGGTTTCCTGTGGCACAGGAGCCAGCGAGCAGGGCCCACTCCTGGGAAACAGCCATGGTACTACCTCGTGAACACACACAGATGGGGCTCCTTGAGGCAGGAGTCCTGCAGGAGGAAGAGCTAGGGGTACTGAGGACACCCGGGTCATGCAGGAGCCCAGGGAGAAGGCTGGAGGCACTCAGGGCTGCATGGCGTCTGTTCACAGCAGCGTCCACACAGCCCCACTGGGTGGTCCAGGCAGCAGGGGAAGGCACAGTTCTTGCTGGTGACAAACGTATAATCTGAAGTAAAATAAAACAGTATATGTGGGCTCATGTTGAGAGATTATATATTTTTATTTATATATACATTTTTAAAAAATAGTTGCTTCATGAAGACAAGAGGAGAGAATATCTTTATCAGCTTCAAGAATTTGTAGTGACCGATAACAGCAGGAATTGGAGGTTTCGATATGAACTAGCAGAGTAAGTAAAACCTGTGTGGGGCTGTGCGAAGGCAATTAGATGGAGTAAGTCTTCATTTTCCTACCTTGTAATTGATTTCTAAACTAGCAGTAATAGTGTTCTTTGGGATAAAGAGATTATGTTTTTATTAAGGGATAAACCAAACTCCAAAGCTCTAAGTTACAAATACCTCTGTCTCCGGGGAGACATTCATTTTCAGATGAAGACAGGGCCCGAGTCACTTTGGAATTAAAGTGTTCTGCTGTTCTATAAAGCAATTTATTCGAACCAAATAAAAGATGAATCACCCACTCTTCAGTATTTTCCTATTAATCGGAGCAGTTTTTTGCCAGCGCTTTCTTGAACATTCTGAGTGTAGCCCTCTCTGCAGGGCACAGTGTGGTTTAGGCACTTCAGCTTCCAAAGAACATGACGCTGCAGTGAGAGATATGAAAAGGTCTAGCGCAGATGAGACGATTATTAAATAAAACTGTCCCCCAAGGTGGCTCAGATCTGTACCTCATTTTGTGTGTGAAGGAGTTATTTAATTCCGTCTGTGCCGGCGAAGGGAAAGGGAAAGGTTTTAGCGATTCTAATAGAGTGAAAGCATCACTTTAAATAATTCTCCTTCCCGAGGTGCATAATGTGATTTCCGCAGTATCGAGTGGATTTGTTTGTGGTGGTGGTTGTTTGGGTTTTAGTTTTCACCTTGTCGAGATTTATTTCAGTATCTTTAGTTTTCATTTTCCTTCCTCTCAACTAGAAATCTCTCAAATAATTATCTTCCCTGTAGAAATCCATCAAGCTTTTGCAGCTATTCAGGATATGATTTGGCCGATGCCGGGGGCAAACTAAAAGATTTTCTCTTTGCTGTGATCTTTAATCATTATGCTTAATTTGAGCGATTGAGGTTTTAGTCATTATGCTATGTTCCCAGCCTATGTTCTAAGAGAACAGAGACAAAAATAGGCCCAAGTTTTTCATGAAAGCATTGTGCCCTCTAGCGGCAGTGTGCGGAAACTCCGCCAGGTCCGTCTGGGGGCGGGCTGACCGGCTTTCCAGGGCTGGGAACTGGGTGGGGGGCGGAGAAGGGGACGCGGCTGGGGATGGGGACGGGCTGACGTGCTTCCCGGGGACGGGGACGGGGTCAGGGGACCGAGGATGGGCTGACCTGCTTCCCGGGGCTGGGTACCGGGGCCAGGGGACCCGGACAAGACCGGTTTGGGGACGGAGCTGAGGTGTGGTGTGGCTCGGCTAGCATGGCCAGACAGCATTATCTCTGAGCGCTGTCTCCCATATCTGCCTTGGTTATTGAAGCCAAAGCCACTGATAAGAATTCTGTGCTCCTGTGCCCATGATACTGGTATCATTTTCCTGAAAACAGTGCTTTTTGATATGAAAATATTCACCAGCACTCCTGGCTTCTGGTTCTAACTTCCTTCAATCTCTTTTTCATTTCCTTTTGTTGCCAGTGTGGAAATAATGCCATTTATTTTCATAACCTTCTCCCCATCCCCATGTAGAAAGCAGCGAGAGCTCTGCAGTAGATTTCCCCACCAGCCGGAGGATGAATTCCCCCCTTCGAGTAAATCGCTGTTATTTCTCTCCAAGCGGACCGGCTGCGTTTGAAAAGCTCTGCAGAGCCGGAGCCGGCCAGCAAAAACAGAAATTTAATGTGCAGCTCCAGGATCACTGTGGAGGCAGTGAAATCTCATCACAGTGTTCCTTCGTCTGTTGATCTTTGGGAATTTCAGTGTTCTGGCTATTTTTAGGTTATCTGATTTTTAAAGTTTTATGTGCTTTCCAACTGATAACCTAAAATTGAAATAGTAAATCCCTATTCATAAATTTCTCAACCCCTGTTTTACCAAGTGTAATTTATGTCCTTTTTATTTGATTTGTTTGTGTGTGTGAGATGAGGAATTCAGGTTTTCCCCCACTGTTCTTTGCGTGGCCATTTCACTCAGTGCTCTGCGTTTCCTTGACCGGAAGCCTCCCTCGGTCTTCATTGCCCTTCCTCCCAGAATGGCTGTTTTTTTTTGTTGTTGTTGTTTTTTTTAATCTATAAGATGAAGTAAGAGTAAAGAGAAAGAAATAAGATGGGGTTTTGCCTCCCAAAACAATTTCTTTTTCTTTTAAATTTCAGGCAGCTGATACTAATTTTGGAACTCTATAATCCCAATGAGGTTTATGATTATTTAATGCATATTGCCTTAAAGCTGTGTGCAGATAAAGTTTCTGAAGTGCGGTGGATCTCCTTCAGACTAGTAAGGAATCATGGCTTTTTCTGTTTATGATTTTTGGAAATACTAATATTTATGTTTCTTCCATTTTTAACTCCTTTATTTTTTTTCTGGGCTTTAATTTGTCAGTTTACCTGTGAAACCAGCTTTTATATTTTAGAATTAAGAACTGTATGATAGTTTTATCAGTTTGTAAGATAGCCTTTTTGTTAAGCTGTATGTTTCAGGGATGGAAATTGTGGGTAAGTCATTTTATAAATGAAACCCTTTAAATAGTGGCTTAGTGTTTCTTTTAAACCCGGGTTGGGTTTAGTCTACAGCATGAATTTATAGAAAAGTAGTTAGTAAACAAAGTAGATCCTATTTGACATGGGTTTACACCAGCTGAAGACGGGGTAAAGGGGGAGAATCTCATTTGAAAATATTATTGATTTACTAATGGTATTAAATTTTTATAAAAATGACATGTTCTGAAAGGTAATGATTTAGCTATTATGCAAGGGTACATTTTCTCAAGTTTGGAATTTTAAGATTAATAATGTATTTTTTCAGTGCCAGTCCCTTGTTAAATTTTATTTTAATGAAGGGCTTTATGTGTGTGTGTCTGTGTATTTCTATATATTTAAACATCTTTTTTCCTTTGTGTTCTAATGATTACTATAACAAAAATTACTTTCCCCCATGCTTATAAATTTATTTTAAAGATGGAAGGGTACATAAAAATGTCTAGTTTCCATGTAAAGTAGTATTCATAATTCAAATAGATGGCAGCATTTTATATTTGCTCTTCTGATTTTTTTCACAGGTTGTGGCAATTCTGCAGAAATTCTATTCAAACAGTGAAAGTGCTTTGGGGGTAAATTTCATCAATGAACTCATCCTAAGGTTCCGGCACTGTTCGAAGTGGGTTGGAAGGCAAGCTTTCGCTTTCATTTGCCAGGTGAGCCTGGCCTGGGGGAATCTGCCCTGGGCACACAGTTGCCATGTGTTGCTATCAGGTGCCCCAGACGAAGAATCCAGGCCTGAACTTGGGGATCAGTGGACCAAACCCCCTTATCTCACAGCAGATTGGAACCAGCCCAGTCAGGCACAGTGACTCAGGGTTTCCCAACCTGTACATGTACTTGTCTTGTAGATATTGATTGAGCACCTACTATTGCCAGACATGCTCTTGATGCTGGAGACAAGCTCCTGTCCTCCCAGCACCTTCCATCGTGAGGTGAGGGCCAGACCCAGAGCCCTGCTCCTGCCATGTCCAGTCCAGGGCTGTGTGTATCTCTGCCCCTCACCGTGGCCAGCTGCCTTGGGAGGAAGGGGGGTAGTGAAGGACAGAGCAGCAGGTTAGGGCAGAGACTATTTAATATTGTTTGAGTGAAGTTCATGTCAGCCTGTCCAGCTCCTCAACTCACCCTCTCTACTTAGCATCTTGGACATGAGGGTGTGATTTACGTTTGGCTGGGGAGGGTGGCTGCCGTTTCTTGAATGTCTCTGTGTGCCAGGTGTCAAATCCTCAGGAATAAGATCTACTGTGTGTTGAGTTTGGTACATCCATTTAAGACTGATTTTTAGATGAAGCAGTTGAAGCCCAGAGAGGTTAAGTAACTCGCTCAAGATCACACAGGAAGTATTTTCTGCTAACGTGTTATTTTTAAAGTCTTAACCTTTCTTTATGCACATTTTCGAGCATGCACGAAGGTAGAGGGACTAGTGCAGTGATGGCGAACCTATGACACGCGTGTCAGAGGTGACACGTGAACTCATTTTTTTTGGTTGATTTTTCTTTGTTAAATGGCATTTAAATATTTAAAATAAATATAAAAAATATAAGTCTTTGTTTTACTATGGTTGCAAATATCAAAAAATTTCTATATGTGACACGGCACCAGAGTTAAGTTAGGGTTTTTCAAAATGCTGACACGCCGAGCTCAAAAGGTTCGCCATCACTGGACTAGTGTAATGAATCTTGGGAACCCGCCACCCAGCTTTGTCAGCAATACAGGAAAACCATGATTGGACTCCACCTGACCTCAGGCCCCAAAGCCCCCTTCTCGCCTTCCTGACTTCTCCCACTGAAGGACTCACCAGGGCCCCTGTTGGGCTGGAGGGGCGTCATAGGGGTACTTTGGCCATCACTTTGAGAAATGCCAAATTCATAGGCTTGTAAAGAAGTTGGAGCTCCAAATCATTTTTGGAGAAAGGGTGAATGAGGTATTTTTGCTTTTATCTTTAAACGAGTGACCCAGTGCATGGATTTGTGCACATTGAAAGGGAATTAATTAGAAGGTGGCCGGTGGGGTGGGTCTGGGCGAGACGGGCTGGACACACCATGGAGCCAACCTCCCGTGGCCCCTCCCCGGTGTCTGTGGAGTCAGCGGGGTCTCTCCGGCCAGTGGGGTCCCTCAGCGTGGCCTGGCCTGTGGGGATCAGGCTGAAACCAGCTCTCCAACATCCCCTGAGGGGTCCCAATGTGCGAGAGGGCACTCTGCAAAGTTGCTGTTGTACAGGGTGTGGAACACAAACACAAGTGTGCAGTAAACCAGATTTGGGGCCGATAGTGCCCCAGCAACAACATAACCCATGGCCGAAGGTGGAGTCACGCAGCCCTGCGAGGAATTGGGCTCCCTCCTCTCTGGTTTTGGGGTGCGTCACCCAAGAACCGCTGCTGCCAAGTCACTGCAGCTTGGCAGCTCCTGCGTTGAGCGTCTGCCCCCTGGTGGTCAGTGCACGTCATAGCAACCAGTCGGAAAGGCGGAGGGACACTTAGCATATTAGCCTTTTATATACATAGATTCTTCATCTCACATTTAGAAACTACATGATGAAACAAAAGTAAAAGATGCCAAAACAATTTTGTTCAAGAACAAATTTTTTTTTGCACTTTCATTAAATTCATCATTAAACATTTAGAAAACCCACAGTAATAGCAGCACAAGGAAAGGGCTCAGCCAAGACTCCTTGCTAAGGGTCATGTTGATTATTACTAAATTGCAGCCCCAGGGAGAGAGCACCACCTGGAGGTTGAGGGCCGACTTAGAGCCAAACCACCAGCTTGAAGCCTGGGCCAAGCAGCCTCTCTGCACCGCCTTTGCACCGGTGAAATGGGGGAGCAGCTTCCGTGCCTGCCTCCTGGTGTGGTCCTGAGGCTTTAATGAGCCGATGCTTCTGAGTCACCGTGCATGTGCCGGCACCTGGAGGACACTCAGTACGTGGTAGCTGCTGCAGTTCCCAGCAGTGGGAAGATCTGTAGGAGACAGATCTATAGATTCCGCACATCTGGTTTGGAATCTCCACCCTGCTGCTGCTTGCTGGTCACTACCACATTGGACCAGAATTTCCTCATCTATAAAACTAGGCCGCCAGGGCTGGCTGTGAGAATTCAACGTGCGAACACTGGTAAGACTTCTTAAGTGGAGAAGCAGTGAGCAGATGCTGGTGGTGGTACAGGAGCCTTGTTTACAGAAGCCAGGTACTGGATGGGGTCGGTGGTCTGGCTGTCACTTGACAGGCTTGGCCCCTGCCCTCAGAGCTTGGGCTCCAGTGAGTGATGGAGGTGAGGATTCTTCACCCTTAGTGGTGGTCACTATGCTAGCCTCTGCAAGAACGATCTGCCATCCCCACCACTTGCCATTGTACAGATGAGAAATCGGAGGCCCAGGAAGGTGAAGCAAGGCCACAAAGGCAGTAAATGACCAAGTCAGGTTTTGAACCTGGACCTGTCTGACTCAAAGCCTTTGCTTTCTCCACCAGATATTGTACCACTTGTACCTCAGTGCTTGGTGAGGAGCTACAAAATGTTAACTGTGTTTCTGACCAGATCAGTGGTTGAGAGTTTTAAGTTAAGACACACATGCCCCTCAGACCCACAGATTCTGAAACTGCTTCTTTGGGATTACAGAAGTGGGTGTTTTGAGGAGAACCGTGCTGATCACCATTGAAATGTCAGTTCTTTATCTTTTCATCACAGGCAGTGGTGAGTGAGGAGTGTATCCCTGTGGACCAGTTTGTTGAACACTTACTCCCCAGCCTTCTAAGCCTTGCCTCAGACCCTGTGCCCAATGTCAGGGTGTTGCTCGCCAAAGCTCTGAGGCAGACACTCTTGGACAAGGGTACGTGCACCAGCTTTCTGAGCTTATACATCTTAAACTTGATCAGGTAGCAATGAGGTTTCCTCTCCAGGAAATCGTGGCAAGTCATGTGATAGCACACTTCTGATTTATGATATAAGTTAATACATTCACTTTCATGTATATTTTATGTTATTCACAAAAGGACTGAGGAAATCAACGTGGTTCAGTTTTTACATTTAATCAACATGCTAAAATGCAAAATATTACATAATTTAGAAAGGAAGGAAACTGCAAATTTTGAGTTATGGTATACAGATTATGAAAGGTAGCAAATTTAAGCCTGAACTACAATTAGGTTTTAATGGTCTGGTCTTGTAGTCAGTAAGAAAAAATATATTGCTCAACCTGGTCAGTTATTTTCACCTGAACAGGACTTAGTATAAGGTAGGGGCCTTGGATAGTTCACTTCTACTGGAGGGAAGAAAAGATAGTAGTGAAAGTTTTTTAGTTATAATTTTCTAAATATGCCTACCAATTCTTATGAGTATATCTTTAAAATTTAGTATATACTCTTTGATTAAAGCAATTTGATCACTTTAAAGGACTTATTTATATGATAATTCTTTGAAAAATGATGTATTGTCCTAAGATTTGGTTTAAGAACCCCCAAAGTAGAAGATGTTTTAGAACACAATTCATGGCACACGTGATTCAAACTCATGGTTTCTCTCTCTAGCGTACTTTAGAAATGCCGGCCACCCTCATCTTGAAATCGTTGAAGAGACCATCTTAGCTTTGCAGTCAGACCGGGACCAAGATGTCTCCTTTTTTGCCACGCTGGAGCCAAAGCGGGGGAATCTTGTGGACACTGCCATGCTGGAGAAACGGAATTGAGCTCTGGGATCGCTCACAATCGCTCCTTCTGTACTTGGGGCATATCTCTTATGTAATCAGACCTGCTGAGGGAGGGAAACTTCTGAAACTCTGACACCACACAGTCAAATGACCCCTTTCCCACATGCAGTCACGGGACTGCACCTGGGACCGGTCTGTGCCATGCTTCTGCGCCCCACCTACCTGATCCAGGGTCTGAAAGGTCCTAGAACCAGGTGGTTAACTGGGTGTGGGGGCCTCCACAGCCTCAGGTTACTCGTAAGCAGTTTGTTTTCTCTATGATAGACTATATTATTTAAAGCCTCCCCAAATATAGTAGTTTATTAGAAGTTTTTCAGTCTTTAAAGACTTGCACATTTGGCTGCCTTATGCTTTCCTATAAAATGTAGTTTATGGTATTATATTTTATTTTTAACTGAAATACTGTACATATGTAAATAACTCTTGACAGGAAGAAAAGATATTAATGTAATATTAGCCTCCTATCATTGAACAAAACAAATACATCATTTAAATTTATGCTCCACTTTGAGTTGTGGCAAATATAGCCCAATTTGTTTACTTTTGAAAAATGTGATAGTTAAAGAAATCTACTAAAGAATGATTTGTGGCAATCTTTTGTATGTTTGTTATAAACTCTGTTTGGAACTTTTCTTCATCCCCTCCCCTTCTTGCAGGACTGTAGCCATAGCTGTGTTGGTCTTTGATAGAGGCATGTTGCAGAAGGAATTCATTTTTAGGTGGATATAGTATCATATGCTTAAGAACTCAGGAAGGAAATTGGTCATTGAGATGCATGGACATTGCCTTTATACTTAATGCTTTAGAATCTTAACAACAAAAAAAATAGGAAACCAGTTCTGATCAGTCCATAGACTTGCCCACAAATGCCAGTGGTTTGGGGTATTAAATTATGATACTCTAATACTTTCAACAATAAATTTAAAAAAATAAAAAATTATGATACTCTTCAAATTGATCTAAGTATACAGAACTTAGATTTCATGCTTTTACAATTTGAACCAAGAAAGATGCTCTAGAATTTAAATAAGTTTTCTTATTAGTAATTCAAGGTTCTATAAACATTAAATAATGTATGCTCATATTACTGTGTTTCCATGTGTATCTTCTCAAAGGTGGGCATAAGGGAAGGAAGGGGCTGCCAGAGAGGTCCAAGGGCAGCTGCCAAGGGCACGTCAGCTGTGTCCATGCTTCCCTTGGAGCTGTCTTTTCTTTGTTTTAAATAAAATATCTGGAGCCACATATTGAATTTCCAGGTGTCCAGGATCCTCTCCTCTTCCCCAGTTCCATGGAGCTGCTGCTTTGAACATAAGGGGAGGCATTTCTGGCACCAAAGAAAACAGGATGCATTTGTGGGAATCTCAAAGTGTAACCAGGGTTGCGTTTTGGCAACTTCAGCAAAAAGTGGGTTAATAAATCGGAGGCTACATATTAAGAAAAACAAACAAACAACTTCAATTCATTTTGTGTTCAATTCTTGCCTACAGTAAGTAGATGGAGGTAGTGTTTTGCTTCAGTAACAAGCGATTTTTTTTTATTGCCTAGAAATTGAGATTGCCATGTTGTTCAAATCTGTTGATATAGAAGCCAGAGTAGAATTATTCAAGTAGAATCTTGTATTCTGTGAAGAGCTTAATTTTCCATTAAGGAAAAAAGATTAGCTTCTGTTTGTGTTGTGATGTGTGGAGTTCGCACGCTGAATCTAATGTGCTGGTAGACATTCTAGAGACTCTGTAAATAATTCAGCCTTTAATGTGTCAGTTTACGGTAACAGTTTTCTATGATGTGAATGTCTTTCCAAGGCAGAGATTTTTTGTGTGTGTGACTAATTTCTCTGCAAAAAGTATGCTTAAAGCTTATATTTTATTCTTTTTTATTTTATTTTTATAACCACTGAGCTTTCACTATGATTGTTCTGGTTCCTGTGCCTTCTGTTTTTCCCCATCACTAGCTTTTTTTTTTTTAATCTTCACCTGAGGATGTTTTTTCCATTGATTTTTAGAGAGAGTGGAAGGGAGGGGGAAAGACAGAGAAAATCATCAATGTGAGAGAAACACATAGATTGGTTGCCTCCTATATGAGCCCATTCCACAGCCTGGGCCAGGGAGGAGCCTGCAACCAGTATGTCCCCTTGACAGGAATCAAACCCGGGACCAGCTGACACTCTATCCACTGAGCAAACTGACTAGGGCCCCCATCACTCTAGCTCAGGGGTGGGCAACCTTTTTGTGAGTGCGTGCCAAAACCAGCAAAATCTCTGACTCAAAATTCTTCTGCGTGCCAACCCTAATTTTTTGAGAACATGTTACGCCTTGATATCTCTTAAGGTGTACATATGTGAAGAACCTTGAAGAAATAATAAAATTCATTTGAGCGACAAAAACAGTATATGATGATGAAAAATACATTTATTTTTAAATTATACATGTACACTGATAGTCCGACAGAAAACTTTATGACTCCGTTTGATATTATCAGTGGGACTTTTGCTGCTGCTTCACTGATGACAGAGATTTTACATCAGGTTTATATTTTGTGACCTTCAGAGATATGCACAAGCTGCTACTTTCATCCGTCAGGCTACTCCTATTAGGATACTTAAAATTCATCACTGAGAACAAAGATTCACAAGCGTATGTGGATGAAACCAAAACACTGGTCGGATCTAGGAAGGCAGGGAGAGTCAAGGCAGAAGCATAGAAATTGCTCTCCTCCTCTCTCGTCAATCCATGTCTATGGTCTTTAAGATAACTTGTTATGTAAAATTATTTATCTAAGATGCACCTACACTGAATTTATCTGAAAAATAAAGTCGATATTAAGAAAAATTGTAAATGGAAGATTACAAGAGAGGGTTTTGCGTGCCAGCAAAAGTTACTGGCGTGCCATGTTTGGCACGCGTGCCAGAGGTTGCCCACCCCTGCTCTAGCTCTTCATGTATGAACAGTTCATGGGCCCAGGGGTGGAGTGCTTGGGATTTGACCATCACAAGTGAGCTTCCTATTTACTTGAATGCTGGGCCTCCTCTCTGGTGAATTAATGGAAAAGCACAAGATGGTTTCATAAGATGGAGCTCCCTAAAAAGCTATTCTAACAATAGAGCCTTTGCCACGTGGACAGTGCCCCTTGTTGAGTGTTTTTATCAGCACCTTTCTCACTCCAATAATTCCAGAGCACTTTCAGAATTGGTGGGTTTTGATGCAGCTTTGC